TGGTAGCCATGGTTTTGCAGCACCAGAGTCACATTTTGACAATCGGTAAATGCGATATGCGAAATCCACTATGGTGCGGAAGGTGTTTAATTCAATAAATCATTAAAATTTATTTATATTCCATTCCAGATTTAAATCATCAATATTGATGATTGAAATTCAAGTAGATTTTAATCAGATATATCCATGATTTTTAGAAATTTACACTGATATTTTGACAGTGATTAAAATCATCACTAGTGACAATTTCAACATCAAGGTAACCATGATTTTTTTTTCTTTAAAATACATGGATGTATTAAATTTTAACTAAATTTAGATTGTCGTTATTGATGATTTAAATCGAAAATGAATTTAGGAAGATTTTCTATTATTTCATGGTAAACTAGTATTTTGACACAAGCAGTATAAGAGTCAAAATTAATATTAATTTTTGGGTAATGTGTCATATTCATTAGAAAAGATGAATTTAAAGATTGGCAATTTAAATCAATGTTGATCTGTCCATGAACATTTTAAAGAAATTCATGTATGTAGAAAATATATGTCTCATATATGTGATTTAGAATTTAACTAGTCAATATTAATGATTTAAATCAAATATATAAAAAAAAATGAAAATATTCGTGGTCAGCCTAATGTGAATTTAAATCACCAATATGGACATTTGAAATCTAAAGGGATATATCCATATATGTTTTAAAATGTTCACAAACATTCTGACATCCATTTAAATCATCTATATTGATATAAATCAAATTGTAACAGTCTTTCATTTTGGGTAAAATGAGAATATATGCAACAAATCCTATGTATTTCTCTATAATAGTCTCACGATTATAAATGACAATCATCATGTTGTTGTTGTGTTGTATTTTTGACACACACATGTATACAGGTTATACAGCAATTACCATGTATATTATATATTTGTCTGCTAGATACTCGAGCCCCACGCGAAATCATCTGCGGAAATATGTATTTAAATCACTTGAGACAAGACAAATTTGAACTCCACGACTGTAGCCAGTTTAATCGAGCCCATATGTATCAGACACACAGAGGACACAGCGCCATAAACAGTGATATCATGTTGCCAATAATATATTGAATAATCAAAACTGAAACATAGAGAATGCGCGACGATTGAAAAAATGTACGTTACCTTTCCGAAAAATGATGTGCACATAAAACCCTTCTTGGTCAGACTGTGTTTGTATGTAATGCTGTGCAATCCGATGTTGGCTCACACAGACACGTTTATCACACAGCCGCTCAGACGAACGCAAGCTCAAATGTTTGCCATCCGCCATTTTGTCCGGGGGTGCCACAGGTTTATTTGACGCTATGTTCAGCTGACGCCAGGTTCGTTGAAAGGAATGGCGCGGTTACGGACAGAGTTGTAAACGAACACAAATTCATTTGCCACAAAGATTTAAACCGTTTAAACCGATCCCAGGGAGTAGAACAAGTTTGAAAAGTATTGAGTACATCCCCCGGTACTCGGTTATAAAGGCATTTGAGTTATTACACTCATCTTGGTTCAAGCTGCTATGTGTGTAATAACGCCACCTATTGTACTTTCGCAGGAAACACTCATTTCGCAATCGTTTTAGTATTAGCGAAAAATGTGCGGCCTTTTTGTGCTCACTGGCAATATATTTGGGGGAGGGGACTGTCAACTGGTTAGGCTGAAATCAAGTACACTCAAAATCTTACATAGAAAGCATGCAATCTGTTAAATAATATGCATGAAATGGCAATTTATCAGTGGTTTACATAACCCACAACGACAAAAGATTTCATCGTGCATAATTTTGTAGTATTTTTTTTCGACTTCAATCAATGGCTAACATTTTGAAATAGTGAAGTTTGGGTATGGTAAAACGTTCTATAAGGCAGACAAAATATGCTGGAATTGGCGTAATGTACAGGTTGCATCTTACTAATTTGACTAATAGGTGGGGAGGAATTTTGACTTCAAAGTCTGAATCAGTAATAACGACTAAATTGTGCATGCAATTAAAAAGAAAAAAAACGTTATCCAATCAAAATAGTTTAATAGAGACCCAGAAAATTGGAATAACTTGAGTGAAATTTTAACCAAAAAAAACATATTTCTCTTTTCCTTATACAGAACAGAGACCTCTTCAGTTTTCTAGGTTCTAAAGGTTTACAAGTATCAGCAAATCTAGTCGCTGACTTACACATGGTGAGTGAATGACCTCTATTGAAATAGAGCTAATTATAATCCATACCATAAACATGAATTAAACAGTTGACAAGGAGATTTAGTTACTGGTTTAAGAGCAAGAGGCCCAATGGGATAGAATTAAAACGTGACAAACCTGTATAAAACGACCACAAAAGGCACAAACCTGTTTATAGCGACCACTGAACGTGAGTCAACCTGTGCATTAAGACTAACAAAGGTTCAGCCAAACCTGTGTATAGTAACCATTCAAGATACAGCCAAACCTGTGTATAGTGACCACCAAGATACAGCCAAACCTGTGTATAGTGACCACCCAAAGTATCTTTATTGAATACCTTGTTGTATCACTAGTACCTTTATAGAACCTGTATACTTATAAGGAGCATCCAAGTACAGTGAAATGTACACAGTTAGGGTTTTGCTTATATACGTATTCATATAAATATCAGGAAAGCCAAGGCATGGTCAGCCATGAGAAAGATGGATAACATCTGGAGGTCAAATATGTCGAGAAGTTTCAAGACTCAGTTCTTTCGAGCTACAGCTGAAAGCATACTGCTTTACGGAGCTGAGACTTGGACACTCACAAAAGCAATGGAAAAAGACCTTGATGGAACATACACATATCTCTTGCGTCATGCTCAAAACATCAGCTGGAGACAAAATGTCACAAATAAAGACCGCTATGGTAATCTACCAAAAGTATCTAAAACAATCAGAAAACGTAGACTCAGACTAGTGGGACACTGCTTCAGACACAACGAACCAGCGTCCTTGGTGCTACTGTAGAAACCAACCCATGGACAGATAAGACCTGGCAGGCCTTTTGATGACTATGTACCTGTGCTTCAAAGGATACTGGCCTAAGCACTGAAGAACTAAAAGTTCCGATGAGGGACAGGTAATTGTGGAGAAAGATGATCATGGAAGCGGGTGCGCCCGACTGATGATGATGATAAATTTGTAAAAAAACGATCATCAGCTTTCATTCAAATTCAAATATTCACTAGTGATTGGTGGTGGGCCTACTTGGAACGCAAAAGGGAGAATCATGTATTTTTCGTCCGCCAACTGTTTATTTTAGATGAGAAATATATAATGGTATACAAATACTAACAACCCCAAATAGTCAAAAAGTATCTCTTATTTCTATAGCTTAATCGGTATCAGTAGCATTATGGGTATTATTGAACTGTTTTTGATGCGTCCTACTACAGCTGCATAGTCAGCTCACACGTGGAACGGAATGTAAATTTGTATTTTTTCTATGCGATTTTCGTTCAATAATTTATGGTTGTGTTAGTTATTTTCAATATACCATTATGTAATCTAACGTACCAGAAACTGTGTCAACTTCTTCTCGGTGTATCATCAAAGCATCTTGTTGTAATAAAATAGGAAAACGACATTCAATTCTGCAATTCGACTCTGGTATTATAAAAAAAAAACAGACACTTATATTATAACAGCGCGTCAAATAAAAACAAACCATTTTCTAAATGTCATCGTTCAATGATTACAATATTGTATTCAGCATGGTTGTAATTTTTTGTTTGAAAGCAAAGTGAAATGTCATTTTATTTAACTTTCTGTCAACATCCCAACGCATAGTACACTGCTAAAATTGGGTTATCACTATCTTACTGTGAAATGATAAATAATGCGATCTAGTTACACCCACTGTGCCCAAATAAAGTAGAAAATGGCGTTATATAGGAATGTGAACTTGAAGTGAAAACACATGGAAGGGAACAAGTTACCTTATTACAAGCATTTTCTCAGAAATGTTGAACGTTAAATGTCACCCAAACCTCACATAAACGCAGTAGGGATTACTAGAGAATTTTAGCCTGAACTGTTATCTAATTTTCTTTCATTTTGATTTTTTCACACGATTTTCTTCTCACAAATGTGGAACAGATATGTGATATAATTAATTACGGAACCCTTGTTTAAATACTGTATTTTCCTTGCCTTCAAGAAATGACAGGGAAGGTATCATATTAGCCTGACATGTAGGCGTGAGTGGCGCCATCGTCGGCTGAATGGCATCAGACTCCACTAACGCCCGACGGAATATTGTCTCGTCGGCAAGATCAATACTGCGAATTTCTCAAAGTTCACGCCTCCTTGCAACGTGTTTCAAAGAGTATTTATTTTGGTGGTTATGGTAACACCGTCAATCAAAGCCGTGGTTGCATTATCAGGCTAGTATAATAAATAAAAGAAGTTAATTCAAGTTGTTGTTGCCGTTGTTTTTTTATTGTGGTGGTTGCCAAAAACTGAAACTTTCAATCAGCTTGAAATACCCCCCCCCCCGATATTATTTTATTATCAGCTTATCTCCCTCATTCAGTTGGTTTAGCCTTCGAATCAGTGTATAATGCATTTTTTTTTGATATCCTTTATTCTTTACTAGTTGTAATCATAGACAGTATAGTAGGATGTTTCTAAACTCGTTTTTTACCTTTCTTTCTAATGAGTCCCATATATCATTAACTTTCCACATTAATATCACGTTTATCTAAACAAATCCGTACCCCTTTTTTCACATATAACATTGTATGGCGATAAGCAATCTATTGGCAAAATATAAAAAATCGAAGACTTTCGTGAAACTGTATTGAGCCACCCTACTTATTATTATTTAAAAAGTATCGCTTTTATTTTTATTTTCAGTGTGTTATTAATTATAAATCCGCATAGAGGGCGCTGGTCGTTGACGTACAGCGTGTTAAAAATAGCACAATCACATGACGAAGGATTGCCTCATCAACTACCGTACCTTCAGCGTGTTGTTTTGCAGTGAGTTGTTCTGAAAACCCCTGAAAATTCGCTGTTTTGCTCGATGTAGACATTTAACTATGTGGAGGATAGTCCATAATGTCCAGAGAGGTGAGTTATATTTTCAGTCACAGTCCTCGGCCTCGGTTTTTTCAGAATTGACGCGGCGTAGTGCCGCACTAGTTTCGGCTGTTTTATCGCATCTCCTGGTTTCGTATCGTTGTAGTAGCCAGTTGTTGTTTTTTTGATCGGGGATGTGTTTCGCCCGCCATGGAGATTCGTAATGCAACGTAAACCACAACCGATGACAATAAACTCAACCCCTGAGCGTTTAGTGAACCCAAGAGCTACAGTAAAGTTTTGATTCAACCCACATACGTCGTCGGCAAGGTACACCGGCCGGCGCCGCGGCATGCATACATAAATCCCCGGCATAAATCAAACCAGAAATCCAAACAAGACACTCCTACTCGCCCCGTGACGATCGCACATCGTATCATACATCTTTCACCCCCCCCCCAAATAGTGAAACACGTAACATACATTTAAAATTACTTTATTATGACTTCCAATGTCATAGTATTACGGTACTTGTTTTGGGTTTCAGCGGCCCTGATGACCCCATTTCCGTGACGTCACCTTCATGATTGTGTACAAAAGGTCATACGAGTACAACAACTGATAAATAGGTCAGTGTCTCAAGGTGACCTTTAATAATATACTGTTTAATTTTTGTACTGTAAAACAGGTTTCAGGCAGTTCACTTACAATCAACCATTGCGGACAACTAACCTATCCCAACAAAATAAAAACCAAGACGAGGATAAGACAAGTTCTTACCACTATCACAATGGGTTAGTGCCACCAGACAGACAGGTAGCAAGGTAAACAATCTTTAGTAGTTTTATATCAGTTATCTTTATACATCTGTCACTACTGTATACGGCAAGAGTTCCTTAATAGGCCTCCTCACTCATAACTCTAAACCTAACCATGCCCCTCCAGTGCTTCTTCCCTATTTCAATAGTATATTCAAGTCAATTATAGTTATTTCGAAAGGGCACATTGAATAACATTAGGGGCTGGATTGTTAGGGTTAAGGTTCAGGATGAGGGGGCCTTAACTTTTTCACCACCAGACTTTCTCGCCAAAATTGTTTTCACTTTTTTCTTATATTCTTCAATATTTCTACTTGGAGCCAACAGACAAAATTTGAGTCAATTTGGTTATTTTTGTCTCTTTTGAAGAAAAGTGCAGACTATAAATGGGACTAATTTTATGAATCGCTCCTTTCTATAATAAAATCATAAATATTTTTAGAATCTAATTTTGACATTAAATTACTACTTTGACGCAGTCCGAAAACAAGGACTTATGTTTTGACCTTTGTGCGTGCATGCATGCTCCCGTGCATGTGGACCTGTATCTTAGACATGCCTGGACCAATCACAATCAAACTTCACACATACACCCTACATAATATTATACATCTGCACATCTGTTTCACTATCTGATTCAAGATGGCCGAATGGTGGCCATCTTTGTGCTAAAAAATCATCAAAATCAAGCATTTATAGATGGATTTTGTTTAAACTTGGTACATACATTATGGAACCCTGATGCATATCATTTTATTTTTCAGATCCAATTTAAAATGGCTGATTGGCGACCATTTTGTTTTAATGAATGCAGTTCTAGTGCCATATCTCTGATATGCTTTGACTGATTATATTCAAATTTTATATATTCGTTTTACATCATGTTATAGATATATAGATGTATTCAAAATGGCCGACTGGTTGCCATTTTGTTTTAATTAATGCTGTTTCAGAGCAATATTCCTCAATATAGACAAGTACTCGTTTGACGATCAGATACAAGATGTCAGTCATTTTAATGTTAAAAAATCATCACAATCAAGCATCATCTTCTGGATCCATACTTCTTACATGTTTATGTTCCAACTATATAACTATAAACAAAACTATATATCTTAAATTTGATAACTAACAGGGACTGTGCCATGCATGGCTTGTTATTATTAACTCACGATGAACTGAAGTGTTTTCTTATTACAAATTCTAGAATACATTGCGGTGTGAGTTCTGACCATGGCGGTGGAGATGGCAACAGACAGAGAGAGGATTGGAACAGTTTTAAGCAGAGGTTTTCCTGGTCCACGTGTCATGGATCGTCCACGGTGTGTGAAGCTATGGGCTGGGTAAGTGCCATCACTGCATAACCTGATATTCTTATAAATAAATATCAAAGCACACTCAAACCAAAAATTCACTTATTTTGACCATAGACACACCTCTATGGTTTACCTAAGTGTATGCGCTAATAATAGAGCAAGTACAGTAATTGTTTGGCTCAAACTAGGTGTGGTCCTGATAGGCATAGTACCGTATTTATCCAGGTATAAGACCAGGGTCCTGAACATGGAAAATTGCCAAAAAGAAGGGGTGGGCGTTTGCCAGGAGATCCCCGGCAAAAAAACACGAAAATTGACAACACGCAGATTGAACTGCGGCAGGGAATAGAACGGCAAATGAAAACGTGCAACGGAAATAAATGAACAATATGCAACAAATGTCCAAGTCGACTGTAGCCGTCGAACAAAATCCCTACAACTTATTCCTGAAGTTCGTCGATATCGTCCAACACAATTTGGACTTAGCACTTTTAATCCACGGAATTTGCAGTCTGTCAGCTTGGCATTTTTCATTCATGTCTAATCATAATAAAGAGACAAGAAAAATGGGGTCGCTCTGCTGCGATGGCACACGATGCTTTTGTTTACAGTCTAGCAATCATCTTTGACCTTTATGCATCTGCTTTACTGATTGGCTAAGAATAACATCACTACTAGTATTTCATCATAAAGGTCAAATCGTGACATTGCTTTCTTATCAGACTCGACGCTTATTAATCACGGTGAAAGTTATCATTCAGCAAGTTCCGTCGGTAGGAATGTCTCACTATATGGATATCGCAGGGGACTTGAAATACAAAGTGTTTTTTTTATCCAAAGACAGAAGAATAGTTTTCATGACAGAAATGCAATAGCGGTGATAAAAGATGGTAAAAAAGTTGGCAGTCTTCGGCGTGACATTGCAAAATTGCTGGCCCAAGTTATGGATTCGCAAGCTGCTACAAAATATTTATAAAGCCAAAATAACGTGATTTCAACCATTCTCCCAGGTACGGGTTGCTACAATATTGCAACATTGTTTTCATTGTCGACGATGCTAAAGCCGAACGAGTACGACACTTGCTTAGCGGCTCTCCTTATACGATTTGCTTGAATCGTTTCTAAGGAAGCACGAACAAAACGGCCGGCCCTTTTTAGGGCCACGGCATATTTCAAAAAGAGAAGTATCACGACAGACTTCAAAAAAGTCAACTAACTGTTAATACAACCACAGTCAACGAATGGAAAATAGTTTTTTTGTTTTGTGTAGTAAAAGACCCCCCTGGGCGTGTGCACGGATATGACCTCAACTTCTTTATTGTGTCAAAAGTAGGGGGTGGGCGTTTGTCCAGGCATGGGCTCTTACCCAGATAAGTACGGTATAAGGTATATTAGAGAATATCACAGGGTATGCATGTAATGAGTACAGTACGCATATTTTGATCGTATCAGCCAACATGTGTAGTGGAGGTTTATGCCTGCGTGAATCATTTTCAGTGTGTCCTTGAGATAGCCTGCTTGTTAAAATAATACAATGAATGATAACAACCCAAAATGGCAATGAAAAATAGATAATTTTTGAACAGCACACTTAAAAATATTTGCCCTGTTACAGTGTTATTAATGGGCATAATCATGAAAGTGGCCTTTATGAACTGACTATTTCATTATCCTGTACATGTATTTTGACTTAATTCCAGGGCACTGCAATCGCTGTGGGTTTGCATCTATGTAGGAATATCGGCAGAATCGACTGGGTTACGGATGATGACAAAACAAGATTTCAGCGTGCGCTGGGTAGGTTTGCGCTGGCAATGCCAAGAACATTCAAAGATCGCCTCGCTACAACTCGGATGTCAGTCGTAACTGAAGGTACAAAACAACAAGATTCAACCGAGCAGACAGTAAGTACATCCTGTGGTATGATGCATTTCATAATGATAAGCCAGTACTGTTACCAACCTTTTTTCTAAACTAGAAGCTTTTTATCCTGATTTTTGAAAGTTAATTCAATGGAGTCACGCAACACATATGGCAATATGTATGTGTGTGTGTGTCCTCCTGTTCCACAGATACCTAAAGAATCACTCATTGGATTTTGATGAAACTTGGTACATAGATGCTCTGGGACAATGCACCGACCAAAATAAGTTAAAAATTCAGCTAACAGTTGACACCAATGTTGAATTGACTAATTGCAGAATTGGTGAACATTATTAATTACTATAAATATGTTTATAAAAGAAGTTTTTTAAGTTTTGTAATTCTGATATTCCTATGAATATTAATAATTAATTATTTAGATTCTAAAATTATTATCTTTGAACAATCCAAGGCTTGAACTTTGATATTCTGAAAACGCTAAAAACTTTAATTGCTTTGGGCTGATTGAAATTGTCAAGAATATTTATGACTATTTTTAGAGGCATCAGGAGATTGATGATCTTGTCTAACTAGACATTTCCGTTGTTTTTTCCAGCCAGAACAACTTTTATTGGAAGTTAGAAGTAAGTTTGAATCGTTAGCCGATGAGAGTACAGGAACTGTCCTGAATGCAGTGGGTTTAAATTACGTGGAGAAAAGAAATTTTGTTAAAGCCGCTGAAGAATTCCGACAAGCCAGTGATATGGGACATGGTAAAGCAATGTATAATCTTGGTATATGTTATGAACAGGGAATGGGTGTTAGTCAAAGTCTTGCAAAGGTAATAAAATGAAATGTACTTTTACTGTGTTGAAATTTACCTCTGGTCACATGTATGTAAATGTGTCGAAATGGGCGTAGTGCGAGTGGCTAGTGCTAGTAGCACTAATCCGAAAAAGTACTAGATCTAGTGCTAAAATGGCACTAGATCTAGTGCTAAAATGCCACTAGATCTAGTGCTAAAATGGCACTAGATCTAGCGCTAAAATGGCACTAGATCTAGCGCTAAAATGGCACTAGATCTAGCGCTAAAATGGCACTAGATCTAGTGCTAAAATGGCACTAGATCTAGTGCTAAAATGCCACTAGATCTAGTGCTAAAATGGCACTAGATCTAGCGCTAAAATGGCACTAGATCTAGCGCTAAAATGGCACTAGATCTAGTGCTAAAATGTGCACAGTGCGAGTGGCATTGTTATCACATTGTCAACGACGTCGAATAATAGGAGGGGCATCAACAACCACTTTCATATGCAAACTACAAACAGTATAAAACATCGACAATCTGCGCGAGATGTCCATAACAATACTTTCTTTATATAATACCGGATTCTGTCGTAAATTCGCCCTGGGGATTTCACGGGTGATGGGCGCTTATTTGGGGTTCAAAATTTAAAAAAATAATTATCAAATATTTTGGGGGGAAATTTTCATTGTATCCAACTACACAGACTTTCTACGCCGTCAGTTGTATGAATATTTTAACATTTGAACTCATGTGGGTTTATTTGGTACTGCAAAGTTCATTTTTGCTCAGTATAGCATTTGTCAAAGTTAGGAGATCAATTCATAATTAATATTGTGAATTAATTATTCACAAGATAATTAAAAGGAATTAATTCCCATGAATATTGTCTTATACTGCTTTGCTGAGGGTGCATGTGGGTTCCACATCTTTGATATGGACATCTTAAGTTACAATACATCCATGCCTTGCAGGCTGCTGAATACTATAAGCAGGCAGCTGATAAGGGACATCCTATGGCACTTTACAATCTAGCTGTCTTTCACTTGATGGGTCTAGCTGGTTTGAAGAAGGACACCCAGAAAGCAATAGACCTGATGGAAAATGCAGCTGAACAAGGACTATTACAGGTAAGACTGAAATACCGCAGTAAGTTACACACTGTTTTATGGCAGCTACACCCTCCCTTGATGATATTGAACTCTCCCTGTAATGGAAATACAAGCAATGATCCTTACAAGATTGTGCCTGATTGGCTATCCAACCGTAACACCTAACAGTCGGTCCAATCAGGGAGCAGCTTGTTTGTTGTCAGGTTTTTCTCGATGTATCAAATTCTGCCTTGTATATATGCTTTGACTCTACTGCAAAATTCTTACTCACACCACAGTGTAATTATTGGTGGTGTAATTAGTCATCGAATAATTCCGGGTTTAGTTCACTAGTACCCAGATCCTTGAAAAAGGTTGGGTTAGGAGTTCTAGGCAATGTAAGTGGTAAGCGTTTTGCTTTAAAAACATTATAACTATCTTTTAAAATGTAACAAAAGTTTCTGCTCAGGAAATCAGTGTGTTTCCACATAATTTATTATTGTCAGTCCAGATTCATGTCTTAGTATGGTGACCCGATTAGTACTTGTACCATGGCTGTCTTGAATTGGTCAATGAGTGTTCTAGAATTTCTGCGGTTATATTTTGTAACCTTGCTATGGCATGGCAATGAGATCAAACTAATGTCAACACTGATTACCTGTACTTTAAACTTTTTAACTTTCGCAAGAGACAAATTGAAGAGTCATTGAAAATTGCAGAGACTGTATCTTCATTTCATGCCATAAAATGCCCAAATAGTGTGAATTACTAGAGTGAAAATTGAACGGTTTAAAATATGCAACAAATTGACTATAAGCAACTCGATTTGTTGAAATTGTACGAATTTGCGGTAGATGTCATACATACAACTGTATTAGTTGAATCATTTGATGATTACAGCACATAAACCACTCCCACATCACACTAATGGTTTATATGCCATAATCATCACATGACATGATTTAATTAACATTAAACATATCATTATCACCAATAGTTTCACATAACCTGTTTTTAAATACAGGCGCAGTCCTACCTTGGTGTGTATTACACTGAAGCACCACATAGGAATCTGGAGAAAGCCTTTGAACTATTTCAAGGTGCCGCTGCCAGTGAGGTAAGGATTTCACAAAATGTAATGTTTTGAAAACCCTGCAGGATCCCTGTAATTATCGTTTTTTTCACATGAAATTTCATTAGCCATGGCCAGCATGGTGTAATATTAATAGACAGAGATACTGTAATAGTGGATTAGATGCCTGGTGGTATAGTGGTCATGTACATACTTATAGCTGTATGCTGTTGTCTGAAAAAGGCCAGAGAATACATTTTCAAAAAAACTTCTGGCTGGTTTTCTTGCTCATGTAATAGCATAAAATGTGTAACTTAATTTGAACATAGATTGCCCCATTACATTACATAAGCTGGATGTAGTGTATTATAATATTCACTATGGCGCTACAATGAAGTCAGTTGTTAATATTAAAGCGCAATAGTCCTCAATATCGCATCATGTTCAAGACGGTTCCCATGTGACTTGTTCAATGCATATTTAAATATATTGATTTCTTTAAATGAAATTCGTCAATGGCTTTGGTGTTTTAAAGATCACTATTTTAAAAATGCTTGACAGTTCATAAAATCATCTCTAATTCTCTAGGATGCTGAAAGTCAGTATTACCTTGGTATATGCTACGAACAAGGCTGGGGTAATGGTAAAAATACAGCAAAAGCCGCTGATCTCTACGCCAAGGCAGCTCACCAAGGCCATGCTGGTGCACAGTATAACTTGGCTGTCTTCTATGAAATGGGGCTAGGCGGTAAGTGTTGATCAGACCAAGGGTACAATAATAAATAAGGACGGGCAACTTACATAAACATTGTATGTTGGAGACACTAGAAAAAAATGTTTCTTATGCCACTTGCTTTACTATTTCTAGAAATGTTTGTTCATCACATTATTTTTCAATCATCAGTGGAGTCGTCATTTGTATTTTGTGTGTTTGACATTGTTGCAGGAAATGCTTCATGTTATGAGCACGACCTTTGACCTCTGCTGGTTGATATGGCTATTAACTATTAACTATTTTACAGTTATCTTCACATGTCTAATCCTTAATAAAGCAAACTCGACATCTATTATTTATTGTATTACCAGGTCTTCCCATAGACAAATCATATGCAAAGGACCTGTATAAATTAGCCAGTGAGTCAGGCTCACAGCTGGCAGCTCAAGGTATTGCAAGAATAGAAAAGGATGAGAAAATAGGTTAGTACCATTTCTTATGTTGCAGTTGACATAATTCAGTTCAGTTGATTTAAAACCATTTTTGTACAGTAATTTGTTGTAATGTTACTACGTACATGTAGTATATCGTAACAGATAATATCATAAAAAGAAGTCTAACAGGTTTCAATGTTGTCAGAACTGTGCATGCATGTAGTGGAGGTACATATAAAACGATGAATGTATCTATACTGATATGCATATGCATTGATAAAACCCATAACAGGCAAGCTCGTAAATTCAAAAAATTGTCATACTTAACTGTGATCATGAATTAGTTTGGTGCACCTTACCACCAATATCATCAGCGATTGTGTTGCAAGCTATGTTTCCCATAAAACTGATAACAATCTACTGGCTCCCTGAAAGCAACATTGCTTGAAACACAGTTGTATCTTCAAACAATTCACTTACGATATACTGTGATTATAAAGTATTGCTATGACCAGGAGCCCTGGCCATCAGCAATGTTTATGTTGATGTTATACCTACCGTACTTTCTCATCGATGACAGTTGTGTCTGGAATTTCAATTTGCTCTTTTTTTTTTTAATTACATTTCCTCAGCTTTACTGGAGTCAGCAGTGAATAAACCATTGCCATCGCAACACAGTGTGCCAAATTTTGAAAACACGAAACCAATCTCAAAGCCCAAATCGTTACATGCGTCTGTATCGTCACCTGCATTGACAAGTCTAGCAGAGACTCCAAATAACAACAAACAAGAGATTTTAGGAATGCGTAAACAATCTCAATCGGTTCTCAACTTGTGTTTACCAAGCCTGTTCCAGTTTGAAGACTACCCGGTGTGTGAAGCCGATATAAAGGGAAGCCAGGATGACATGTACGGGATAAGCATTGACTTTGATGGCAACGATTGGCTATCACAATTTGGACTTGGAATATCAAACACCAACAATAATTTACATACAGGGCATTTCGGTTTCAGCAGTATCATACAGAGTGGGTCTTGAATAATTGCGGATATTGCTACAATCCGTTTGTAATTGGTGCTATATGAAGTATATATATGTATATAAAGAGAATGCAGATTGACAACCATGTCTTTTATTAATAAGCTACAAAGACACGTTGGCATTTATATGCAAGGGTATGCTTGACTTTGTCAATTAATGTTTTTGAACAATTGGGAATAATGATGACCACCATTTTTGTATGTTTTGTATAGGACGAGTTTGACTCCTTATCATATTCAGTGAAATACACTGAAGCCGGATAGATAGTGATTATGTTACTTCATTTAAAGATCTCTCCAGTTGTTGTACACCTAAAACTTATCTGAATTTTCTAACAATTCAGGACATCCATCATATCTGATAACTGCACAAATTTTTAAGATATAAGGAAACTATTTTGCCATAAGAACCAATAGTACCGGTAAGTGGTTCAAAAATCACCATTTTCATTGGTGTTTAACACTTTTTTTTTTTGTCTGAAAAGTAGTTGGTTATCCATACCGTATGGTAAAAGTCTAGGAAATATGGAGACAAGTTTTAATGGTAACTGACTACTCTAATTTCAGTAGTCAAATGCCTTAGTGATATAATCTTAACATGTACAAATTATCTTTTGTTCTTCCTACAACACAAACATTAGAATAGTGTCGCGTAATTTGCAACTGGCCAATAATGTTCAATACAGGGTCACTGGATATTATCCAGGTTTGCTCACCGAATGCAGGATACAAAATGGAGATTATTTTAACTTATTAATGGGTATAAATAATATACATGTATGTATGCATGCCTTACACCAGTGGGTGTGCTAAACTTTTGTACAACTTTTGTCAATTTTGTATTAAACTGCACTTTGCATAAACTTCTTTTCTTAGTACGAGTTGATTATTTCATGCGTGCTTGAATTGAAATGAACAGCAGTCGTGAAAATATGGATATTGTCATGTGTTGTGTACACCTAATAAAATTTACTGTTTACCCCCCAATAAAATTTAACTTAAATAGTAATTTTCGAAAACTTGCAACACAAATTGACGTATAAAGCGCATCAGTCAGGTAATACATTGACACGTCTACCTTTTACCAATCTAAGAATTGAGTGGGTATACAAGATCTGATTAGATCCATGGGTGTATCAAGAAGGGTAATTAACATTGACTCAAGAGTGACTGAAAAACTGAATGGGAAAAAAAATTTATTGGAGTTAATTTAAGCAGACATATTTCCTAGTTTATGATTGTCTGCTATATAAATTTACAGATATTAATTTGAAAGGCATTTTCAAGTTAATCCAACTTCCATACAAACAACACATGCATGTGCCCTCTAGACAACTTTTAGAAAAACTTTCCCCTGGAGATCCATTCTACTAAAGTGGTCAATTGATGCAAAAGTGTATCTAGTTCGAGGTGAAATCCTATTTTACAAATAAAATGCACATTTGCTTTCACACTAAGTGGTTTATTTTCCATAAGCAAACTAGCCTTAGTACATTAATATGATGTATAAATACAAAGAATGTCACATAAGAACAGAAGTGTTAGGAATCCATTGTTAGGTTTTCTTCAATGACGGGACAAAACATGAAAAAGCAAAACATTTCTCAGAAATCCATGGCGGCCATTCCATCTTCAAGAAATCGTTTATAAATACTCATGAACTTGGCAACAAACGCTTCTAGATGATAAATTGACTTTGATCCCAATTGTAAACGATGTTCATAAAAAGCGGCCATCTGTGTAACTTCAGCCTTTAATTGACCGTCACAATTGGTGACCAACTCTGCTAACAGTCCTTTCATGATCACCTCAGGTGGAATGCAGTGCGTCAGCAACTCATACAGTCGACCTCTCACTTCCAGCAATCTGATAAAAAAATACATGTAATTAACGTTAACACATCGTCAGCCATGGTGCCAATAGCATCATACTAGGTACTTAGGGCTGTTGTCAAATTATTAATTATTTAATCTTTTTAATTTATGAGACAAGTCAATGGCTACAGTACAGTACAGGTATTTGCACGAGATGAGATGAGTAAATTTCACACATGCGCTGTGGATAATTACAAGATGTGCATCACAAGCAGGGATTTTTTTTAAACAAGGGGCGCAGCGCCCTCATGCCATGGCCATGCACTCCCTTACCCTGGGGAGTAGATTATCGGGCAACTATAAAATTCTGATTGACCAGGGATCACATGTAGCAACAGTCCTCAACTGTGACCTGCCTGATAGCATTTTGGCCCCAAGGAAGTCATACAATGCTCGATTTTAACTTGGAATTATCAAAAACTCCATACCCTGGTAGGGAGAACCGTATCTCCCCCACTTTCTGGCTCCGCTGGATTGCAGTGCCCCCCCCCTCTCTTGCAATTTTTTTTCTAGAAAAACCCTTGACAAGTGTAGTTTTTTTGGAGAGGTTGGGAGGGGACAGGATAAATCCAATCACTGTGCACCGATTTAGTTATGATCGACTTAGTGCCCATATCCAATCACACATCGTGATTTCGTTACCTAGGGTGAAATACATTTAAGCACCCATTCCTTTTCAAAAAAAAACCAAATTTAAAAAAGGCTCCATGGTTAATTTGTTTTATCACATTTGATACAGATAAACCAAGAATACATTATTCCCCTATAAAGTACTAAACCGTTACTGTAACAGGGCTAAGGACAGATGGTGGATGGACGTCTCTAAATAAGGTAAACTGTGAGATCACCAGTTACCCAAACCTAGTTCGTTGACAATGGAAAATGATCATAATTCATTATGATTTTCGTTTTTTTTTTCCTTTAAGTTTACTACTTTCTGTCTGTGTATCTGTCACAAGTATTGGTGCTACTGTAGAAATATATAGTGATAGTCTTTATACCCTCATGTAGATTCATCTAGCTGTAATATCAAACTTGTAGTTATGTTGAATTCACCTTTTAGGGCTCTGCTGCTGTACTATAGCACTGGCAGTCTCCTTAGATATATTTCCCAG